GCCGCTGTCTCGCTGTGAACACGGGTTGAACAACAGCTTCTTGCTGCATTTCTTAACAGTATTTGATCTGAGTCACCTGTATATCTTTTTAAGAAACAGTGATGCCAGATTTTAAAGTCTTTGTTTTGTACATGATCAGTCTGTATTTAATTCCTATACTATTCTTGTTCCCTTTTCTGATATGTTGTTGAAAGGTACCTGAAGCAGGAAGGCATCTATTGCAGGTCAGCTGCAGAGAAGATTCTTATATTTGGCTGTTCTGTACACATATCAAAAAGTATTCTGCTTTTCTTCTTCAGCTGATAAACTTGAGCAGTGCTGCCTAGTTTGAGCGTTCTTTGTCTAGTTGCAGATAAATACATTTTTAGCTACATTTTACCTTAATGTAGTTTGAATAGAGGGTTACTGCCAGGTCACTGGATCATCAATATCTGAAAACTATTTCAGGTATAAAACTGGATGTAGTAGGTTAAAAACCTAGTTCTGAAGGGGATGCTGAGTGCTGTGCTGACCAGTGTGAGGGTGTCAGAGGACAGGAAGGTGTTCCGGTGACAAATGAAATTTAGGAAGGCATAAACACGGAGCAAGAGAGTGTTGCCTAAAACCCCTCCATTTTCTTCACAGGTTGCCATGAACATCCTCAACAGTGGAAGATTCAGCATGGGCAGTGCTTCTGCTGGAATGATTAAAAAACTGATAGGTGAGTGAGTTAGATGTTCTGGGCTGCTGGGTTCACATGCAGAAAACGACCTGTGTAAGGGATGTGCTCTCAGTTGTAACATGCTTTCTCGTCTTTAAAACACTAAAACACTTTCATTTTAAATTGAAAGTTGAGGTTCAGGTTGAAGTGTCACCATCAGTCAGTAGAAAGACTCACAGCAGGACTGTGTCACATGTTTTGAGATGTTTGGTTTGTTTGTTTTTAAAGAAATGACTGCAGAGTATGCGTGTACCCGGAAGCAGTTCAATAAGAAACTCAGCGACTTTGGATTAATTCAGGTAATAAAAAAAACCCAAAAAACCAAAATCCCTGTGCTTTGTGTTGATGAGTGCAGGGACATAGATTGTGTTGGAGTTCTTCTGGCTGTACTGATATAATGACATTGCCAGAGGTATGAAATTTGTGTAAACTTGGCACAGGCTTCCATAGAGGGTTAGATGTCTAGAATGATAAATGTCATGAATAAAGAGATATGCTTTTTAGATTTTTCATTATTGTTTTACAGTAGTATCTTTATTAATCAGTATTTGATAATATGTCAAAGCTGCAGTTATGCTCTTAAGTTTCAGGCTTGACTGTGGAGTTTTGTGTCGGAATTACTGCGTGACTCTTCTCGTTGCTATTTGACAGGAGAAGTTTTGTTTCATGGCTGTGAAAGCGTATGTGATGGAGAGCATGGCTTACCTCACTGCAGGGATGATGGACAGGCCAGGCCTTCCAGACTGCTCCGTGGAGGCAGCCATGGTCAAGGTAATGGATTTGACTGAAAGCCTTGCCTGCAGCTTTAAGCTAATACAATCTGACACCCGTCTTGTTTTTCAGTCTGCATTCCAGGTTGCTGAGAGGCTCAGTTATTACACTGAGACATAGGGTTCAAAAACCTCAGCTAGGTGAAATAGTCATTGCTGTTTTCTCTATATCCCATATACTGCTGGCTACCTCAGATTCAGGCTTTTTTCACCGTACGAAATACAAACTGCATACAGCAGGTTTGGAATATCACGGTCCTCTGGAACCTTCTGGTTTTATGTGGCCTCAGATGGTAGCCAGAGTAAAAAGACAGTTGTATTTCCAGCTGCAGGCCTAGTTCGGGTGCTTCTGTCCTGGCTTTGACTCAGAACTGGTTGCAAATCGTGTGTTGGGAAAGAGTTGGGCCCTCTCTGCGGGCGTGTCATGGTTTAGGGGTCCCTGCAGCGTAGGGCTGGGGGCTGCTGGCTGCCAGGCACCCTCAGGGAGGACTCGCTGACATTCAGCCCCTGTTGATGGCCCTTTCGGTTTAGAACTCATGTTCTGGTGAATCTAGGCTCCGACCAGGTTCTTCCTGTCTGTGGCTGTCACTCTTCCAGGAAATGTCTCCTTACAGAGGCTTTACTGTGGATTGCAAGGAGACCATGTACGTTTGAGCAGAGTGCATGCCCTGAGCCCTGAGGGTGCTGTTTCAGGCAGGCTTTTAACAGGACTGTTGTAACAGCAGTACAAAACACAACAGCAGTGTCATGTAGAGGTGGTGATGGAGCAGTGGGTTCTGTTTTTACCGTGTCCCATGGTGATGGAAACACTGCTCAATGGCAGGTGTTCAGTTCGGAAGGTGCGTGGGCCTGCGTGAGTGAAGCCCTGCAGATTCTTGGAGGCCTTGGCTACATGAAGGATTACCCCTACGAGCGCTACCTCCGAGACACCAGGATCCTTCTCATCTTTGAGGCAAGTGTCAGTACCCTGTTTTCACTGTGAAAAGATACAGTGCCTTTTACAAACTGAGCAGAAAGCGTGAGGTACAGTAGGAACTGGCACCAGGTTTGCCTCTGAAAAGAACAAACGGGTAATATATATGTGTGTGTGTGGTAGTATATATACCGTTATATATACACACACACACACACTGGTAGTGCATATACAGTTTTGTAAATATTTAGGAACTTTCTGGATGTTTTTAGTGAAACACCCAGCTGGTTTGAAAGAAAACAGACCTGGCTCATGGCTTGGGTTCGTTGTTGAACAGACTACAGGATTCTGCTTTTAGTCTCATGTATCTGTACTGATACAAGTGATAGGATTTGGTAAGAGGTTTGGGTAAAATTTTAATTTTTAAACAGTTTTCTCTGATAGGATTTTTCTAATTTTTTTTTGTTTTTTTGTGGCTAAGCTGCTCTGTCAGTCCCTAGACTTGAGTGACCTTTCCTCTTTTGTGCTTCTCACAAGAGAAGTCAGAAACTCACCACAAATTCATCTTGAAGTTTAATTAACTGATTGATGTACATTTATTTAAAAATTTTTTAAAAAAAATTGGCTGCGAAATTTCATGTTTCCAAGCTGGACTATCAGTGGCCATTTGTCTGTACATCTGAATTGGACTTCCAGGCATGATGTTTTTCTTGAGGGACCATTTAGAAATAATAATTTCCCTCAGGACAGCAAAGATCTCAGCTGGAAATCAGCACAAGGGGGAATTCTCAAAGTGCAGTTCAGTGCAGAGCAGTGACCTCGGGCCGCTCTTGCACATAAGTGAGTAGGAAGAGTTGATTCCAAGGGACCTGGAGGCAGATCAGACAGATGAGATCAGATCAGACTGATGTGTTGCTGCAGCCCAGGACAGGGTTTTCATCCAGGATCTGTTCCTGTCACTCTAGAGCAATGCCAGGAAGCCTGTGCTGTGTGTGCACCCTGCCAAAATGTCCTGCCTCGACCTCCCAGCAGGTGAACACTTTTCCTGTGAGCCCCTTTGCAACCTGGGCTGTTGCTGGGCCATGGCAGTTGTGACACTGATCTGATACCCGGGGTGATTTTCAGGTGTCCAGCCTTCTATGGTTTGATCTTTGTTCTTCAGCCACCTATATTAGAACAACCAGTCTTGTAGTGGATTCCCAGACATCAGCTTACACATTATAATTACTGATTTCTATAGTTTTTTAAAATAGAAAGTTCTAATTTTCTATTTGCATTATTAACTTCTTGGTCTGGCCTTACTTTCCAAAGAAGTGTATTGAGCAGTTTTATAACTCTTTAGATATTCCTTTCCTGGAACAATCAGAACTTATTTTTCACTCCAGATGCATTTAGTCAGGTTTCTTTCACTGCAATACACATGAAGGTTTAGTAATGAGAGGCTCAGCTTCACAGCTAAATGAAATCAGAGTTTGTGATTGAGATAAAGAAAATAAAATAGCTAATATTTATGGATGGATGAAGAGAAATCTTTTAATACTAGGACAATGGCACAGGAAGAGTGGCAAAAGAGACCTGCTTGGAAAACATTCATTCATAGTGTAAACTTTATAGTTAAGAGCCTGTCTTCAAAATTATACAGCTACTTTTTATAAAAAGTTAATGACTAGAGTGCTTAGTCTTTGTTTCCTTGCTTGCAGTACCTGCATGGCCTCCACCTCTCCAGCGGCTGCTCCCACTTCAGGCAGGCCTGGAGCCCTGGAGTGCAGAGCCTGGCCCTCTCCCACAAGCGCTCATGGCTCCTGCCTTACCTGCGGCTCACTAGGCAGCTTCGTCTTAGGAGGCCCAGTGTCTTGTAGAACATTTCAAGGAAAAGCACAGCACAAGCTGTTTAGATATTAAAAGCAATTTTAGGAAGGAAAAAAATGTGTACAGGATATCAGCACAGGATCTCCAGGTGTTTTTGAAATACTAAGAATACTTCATACTTGTTGCTGACTGCCCTTCATGTTTTTTACAGGGAACAAATGAAATCCTGCGAATGTACATTGCTTTGACGGGCATGCAGCATGCAGGCAAAATCCTAGCTGACAAAATTAAGTATGTTCTTATTTATTGCTAGTAGCTTTTAATAAACTAAGTGGAATCTGATAACTGTAGATAAGAAGGGAAACTGTAGGAAAAAAACTGCAGTATTTTGCAATGTATTTTCTGTCTAGAAGGTAGTTCAGTGTTCTAGTGGTCTTTTTTATCTTTCTTTTTATGGATATACATGTATAGATAGAACACCTACATCCATATCTATAGATTTAGGAATCTTGGCCTTACTGTATTTTATCTTTTAGTTCCAGCTTGTGTAAAATTTTT